TCGGGTGATACAGCTTCCAGTAATCGGCGATCGGTGATCGGCCCCAAAAATCCTGACCGGAGCACCCCTAAAAATCACCTAAGAGTACTACACCTACTACATTCTTTGAGTAACCTTTTAAATTCATCATAGAAGGTATTGGTAGAAGAAGGTGGACGATAGAGTAAAAACATAACAAAAGACATTTGAGAAGAAAGAGTAAAAGTTATTCCAATACATTCCAGATTTACTTTTGATAGTTGAATCTGGTTGCAATGGATATTATTCTTCAGGTAAACCATGACTCCACCACCTCTTCCCTTAACTCTATCTCGTCTAAATAAATTATATCCGGGTATATTCAAATCTGCCGATGGTGAGTTCTTATTTAACCATGTTTCTGAAAGACAGAGAAAGTCTAGATTGGAATCACATAACAAATGTTTGACTTGTTCAATTTTAGACATTACACTACCCAGATATCAGACGGATGTGGGCCACTTCAGGCAATGATGCGGCACTGGTGGCCTTCTCATGACCCGGACCAAATGTGTCTGAGCCTGAAGTGGCCCACATGTAAAATGGCAAATATGGCCCAAAAAATGTAAATCACATGTGGGCCATTTTAGGCAAAGATGCGGCACTCATGGCCATGTGTAATCTGAATCTTAGCCTAAAGTGGCCCATTTGATAGATAATAAATATGGCCCAAATATGACAAACCAAATGTGGGCCACCTATGGCAAAAACGTGGCACAATTGACAATGACTAATCTGGATGTAAACCAAATATGGCCCACATATGTTTCAGCAAATGTGGCCCAGTTATCTTAAAACATATCTGGGCCAGGTTTGGCAAAGATATGGCTCAGTGGCACTGGCTCATCTAGATGTGAGCCAAAAGAGGCCCACATATAATGTTGCAAATGTGGCCCAGTTATCTTAAAACATATCTGGGCCAGGTTTGGCAAAGATATGGCACAGTTGCACTGGCTCATCTGGATGTGAGCCAAAAGTGGCCCACATATAATCCTGAAAATGTGGCCCAGTTATCTTAAAACACATCTGGGCCAGGTTTGGCAAATATATGGCTCAGTGACCACTGGCTCACCTCGATGTGAGCCAAAAGTGGCCCACATATAATGTTGCAAATGTGGCCCAGTTATCTTAAAACACATCTGGGCCAGGTTTGGCAAAGATATAGCTCAGTGACCACTGGCTAATCTGGATGTGAGCCAAAAGTGGCCCACATATAATGTTGCAAATGTGGCCCAGTTATCTTATAACACATCTGGGCCACGTTTGGTAAAGATATGGCTCATCGAGCACTGGCTCATCTGGATGTGAGCCAAAAGTGGCCCACATATAATGTTGAAAATGTGGCCCAGTTATCTTAAAACAAATCTGGGCCAGGTTTGGCAAATATATGGCTGAGTGACCACTGGCTCATCTGGATGTAAGCCAAAAGTGGCCCACATATAATGTTGCAAATGTGGCCCAGTTATCTTATAACACATTTGGGCCAGGTTTGGCAAAGATATGACTCAGTGACCACTGGCTCATCTGGATGTGAGCCAAAAGTGGCCCACATATAATGTTGCAAATGTGGCCCAGTTATCTTATAACACATCTGGGCCACGTTTGGTAAAGATATGGCTCATCGAGCACTGGCTCATCTGGATGTGAGCCAAAAGTGGCCCACATATAATGTTGAAAATGTGGCCCAGTTATCTTAAAACAAATCTGGGCCAGGTTTGGCAAATATATGGCTGAGTGACCACTGGCTCATCTGGATGTAAGCCAAAAGTGGCCCACATATAATGTGGCAAATGTGGCCCAATTATCTTATAACACATCTGGGCCAGGTTTGGCAAAGATATGGCTGAGTGACCACTGGCTCATCTGGATGTAAGCCAAAAGTGGCCCACATATAATGTTGCAAATGTGGCCCAGTTATCTTATAACACCTCTGGGCCAGGTTTGGCAAAGATATGACTCAGTGACCACTGGCTCATCTGGATGTGAGCCAAAAGTGGCCCACATTTAATGTTGCAAATGTGGCCCAGTTATCTTATAACACATCTGGGCCAAGTTTGGAAAATATATGGCTCAGTGACCACTGGCTCATCTGGACGTGAGCCAAAAGTGGCCAACATATAATGTGGCAAATGTGGCCCAGTTATCTTATAACACATCTGGGCCAGGTTTGCCAAATATATGGCTCAGTGACCACTGGCTCATCTGGATGTGAGCCAAAAGTGGCCCACATATAATGTTGAAAATGTGGCCCAGTTATCTTATAACACATCTGTGCCACGTTTGGTAAAGATATGGCTAATCGAGCACTGGCTCATCTGGATGTGAGCCAAAAGTGGCCCACATATAATGTTGAAAATGTGGCCCAGTTATCTTAAAACAAATCTGGGCCAGGTTTGGCAAATATATGGCTGAGTGACCACTGGCTCATCTGGATGTAAGCCAAAAGTGGCCCACATATAATGTGGCAAATGTGGCCCAATTATCTTATAACACATCTGGGCCAGGTTTGGCAAAGATATGGCTGAGTGACCACTGGCTCATCTGGATGTAAGCCAAAAGTGGCCCACATATAATGTGGCAAATGTGGCCCAATTATCTTATAACACATCTGGGCCAGGTTTGGCAAAGATATGACTCAGTGACCACTGGCTCATCTGGATGTGAGCCAAAAGTGGCCCACATATAATGTGGCAAATGTGGCCCAGTTATCTTATAACACATCTGGGCCAGGTTTGCCAAATATATGGCTCAGTGACCACTGGCTCATCTGGATGTGAGCCAAAAGTGGCCCACATATAATGTTGCAAATGTGGCCCAGTTATCTTATAACACATCTGGGCCAGGTTTGGCAAATATATGGCTCAGTGACCACTGGCTCATCTGGACGTGAGCCAAAAGTGGCCAACATATAATGTGGCAAATGTGGCCCAGTTATCTTATAACACATCTGGGCCAGGTTTGCCAAATATATGGCTCAGTGACCACTGGCTCATCTGGATGTGAGCCAAAAGGGGCCCACATATAATGTTGAAAATGTGGCCCAGTTATCTTATAACACATCTGGGCCACGTTTGGTAAAGATATGGCTAATCGAGCACTGGCTCATCTGGATGTGAGCCAAAAGTGGCCCACATATAATGTTGAAAATGTGGCCCAGTTATCTTAAAACAAATCTGGGCCAGGTTTGGCAAATATATGGCTGAGTGACCACTGGCTCATCTGGATGTAAGCCAAAAGTGGCCCACATATAATGTGGCAAATGTGGCCCAATTATCTTATAACACATCTGGGCCAGGTTTGGCAAAGATATGGCTGAGTGACCACTGGCTCATCTGGATGTAAGCCAAAAGTGGCCCACATATAATGTGGCAAATGTGGCCCAATTATCTTATAACACATCTGGGCCAGGTTTGGCAAAGATATGACTCAGTGACCACTGGCTCATCTGGATGTGAGCCAAAAGTGGCCCACATATAATGTTGAAAATGTGGCCCAGTTATCTTAAAACAAATCTGGGCCAGGTTTGGCAAATATATGGCTGAGTGACCACTGGCTCATCTGGATGTAAGCCAAAAGTGACCACACCGACCAACTGTCACAACATTCTTTCTGTACAACATCAAATAGCAGAGTAGATGGAAAAATAATATTTCTGGTCTCCGAACATATGTGTCTATACAAACATTATTAGTATTATACAAATTATCAGCGAAATCAGTTACAAGTAAATTGTGCCACGGATATTCTCAAAGCGTCTCAACAAAAAAACAACAACAACAAAAACGCTGCACTGCCAAAACACTTTCAATCGCTCACAGCTAGGCCTTTTCAGATTGCCATAGCATTTTCAGCTGGCTAAAAACGCTGTGATGGACACATGGCCTTAGGCTGGATGTGAGGCTACATGTACTGACATAATATGCTATTGCTCACATATGTTTTGTAGGTAGAGTGTCTAGAAAAGTTCAAGTGTTTAAGTTCAAACTTATGAAGAGTTTTGTTATGGTTTTGGGATGTACAAGAAGATACTTAGTTGCTATTTGTACAAAGCTTGGGGCACAATGATTTTGCCAAGTACATGTCCCTGTATCAATATATTTTTGTTGATCTTGGAACATCATTCCTGTCCATAAAAATAGCCCTAACCCTAACCCTAACCCTACAATCAGAGGGACATTATAATAACACTGATCTAGAAGCATGGTTGAAAGCCTAAACTTGGCATAACTTCAAACTTCAATTCTAATTTGTCGATATGAATGCTGTTCCAGGATCAATGTTAAGCCAGGAACATGTTTGGTGAAACCATCTTGCTAGCAGTGTCATCTAGGCCTAACTTCTAAAGCAGACCCGGACAAACTTCATATGTGGCCTCAAGATGAGTTAAATTTATGACAAATTAGTCAATCAAGATATTTCTTATTATTTGGCTATTTTTATAACATGTACTGGATTTGTTGTGGAGAATTGACTAGGTCAAAAAGGTTGTGATTCACTGTTCCTGTGACCCCACAAAGGGAAATATTTGAAACCCCCTTTAAAATATTCAAGTATTTAAAATATAATCAAATGAAAAAATTCTAACATTTTCAATATTGAAAATATAAAAAAAATTATTGTAATATTTTAAAATGAAATAAACATATTTTAAATAAATAAATAAATATTTAATTTTATTACATTTCTGGCTTAATATAATTTACATTTATACAACTGTCATTTTTAGGCTATAAATGATCTTTCTTAAAGATAAAAAATAATTGACATTATAATTGATGAAATACGATTTTTTTTTTTGCTTCAGCTTACTTCTTTATTAGAGATAATATCTCTATTTTGTTTATAACAAAATATTTACTGCATTTGAAGTTGTCTTTGAAAAAAAAAAAATCTAACTGACGATAAGCCTTTTTCACACTTCCGGGTTTTGTGTTTCCGGTGCTCACCGACGCCGGGTAAACTTACTTCCGGTGACAACAACAATGGCCGAGTCCAAGAATAAGTGTTCCTGTAGTGTCCCTCAGTGCAGCAATTCTAAGCAAAAACAACCTTATTTATCTTTTCACGGGTATCCTTTGAATGAAGACCAAAAAAAGAAATGGGTTATCGCTATTAGACGGAACGAAGGGTCTACGTTCGTCATTTGGAGAGGCAGCACGTATGTCTGCAGTCAGCATTTTACCGCTGTCGACTACATTCCAGGAAGTTCGCGGCTGAAGGTTGGTGCCATTCCCAGTCGTTTCCCTTGGAACAATTTCTATGTACCCCCTCAAAGGCTGTCAGCTTTTGAGAGATCTGCTGTTCGACTTGGCGTGGATGTACGTGTTCAGGAGCAACCGGTGGTCTCAGAGGATGCACCCAATGAATCCAGTCATGTTGAGGAACATGACTACGCGGCACGCCCACCTGCCGGTAAGCACTTATGTTAACTTTTGCTTGTGTGATAACAGTGTAGAATGTGCTGTGACGTGAAATACAAAACAAAAAACAGCATAATTAGTTGCTAACTATATTATTTACATTTTTATAGGGGCATTAGATGAGGCTCTGCAGTACATTGAAGAGCTGGAGGCTAGGCTGCAGAAAATGTCACTAGAGAAACAAGCAATAATGAGCAGATTTTGTGTTTCTGATCACACAATCAAATACTACACAAAGTTTCCCTCACAGGAAGTTTTCCAGGTGTTCTGGGAGTCTGTTTGTCCATCTGCCAGCAATCTTGTGTACTGGACTAAGGCACAGAGGATGGGACAGGAAGCATCCCCAAGCCCTAGCCCTGCACGGAAGATCCAGCTCATAGATGAACTGTTCATGTATTCCTGTCGAGTAGCTGCTGGACTGAGGGAACAAGTAATCGCTGACATTTTTGGGGTAAGCGTGGCCACAGTGAGTAGGGCCATTATCACCTGGGCTAACTACCTGTTCTTTGTGTTGGGTTCAGTACCCATTTGGATGTCCAAGCAACAAATATGCTTCTCCATGCCAAAGAAGTACAGTTTGTTCTGTCCAAACCTGCGTGTCATCCTGGATTGCACAGAAATCCGCTGTGAAAGCCCCACATCTCTGACACTCCACTCAGAGATCTTCTCCAGCTACAAGAGCACTACAACATTTAAAGGTCTGGTTGGAGTAGCTCCATGTGGTGCAATGACTTTCATCTCCCAGCTTTACACAGGTTCAATCTCCGACAAAGAGATCACAAAGAAGTCTGGCATTTTGGACCTGCTTGAACCTGGAGATGAGGTCATGGCAGACAAGGGGTTCACAATCGATGATCTCCAGTGTTGGTGCTAGACTGATCATTCCACCTTTCAAACATGCTAAGCAGTTCAGCAAACAGGACTGTGAAAAAACACAGGCCATTGCACGCCTCAGAATTCTGGTGGAAAGGGTAATTCGAAGGGTCAAGGAAAACCACATTTGGGATTCTGTTGTGCCACTCACCTTGTCAGGAAGCATCAATCAGATCTGGCATAATTGCTGTTTTATGGTTAATTACCAGGGGCCGATGTTTCTTGAGGAGTGAATGTACAGTATACAAGTATATATGTATAATATAATAAATATTAGATATTTACAATGTCAGTGTGATTGATTTTTACAATAGTAGTGACAGACTTTCAATATTTTACATTAAATATCTTGTTTTTACTTTTTCTTCGGTCTCCAGTGATACCTGTTTGAGAAGACAATAATTTAGCTAATGAATTGTAATTTTATGCTGTGAGCTACATTAAAGGGATAGTTCACTTAAAAATTGTAAATTAATACCGAAAAAGTTTCTGTTGTCCTCATAGTATTTGTTGCCATATTTGTCAATACCCACTAAGGCTTCTGTCTTGATATCATTTACCCTGAGAAAGACATTTCAATTATGCCTTAAATCCCATTGACTTCCATTGTAGGAAAAAAAAATACTATGGAAGTCAATGGGACCAGTAAACTGTTTGGTTACTGACATTATTCAAAATATCTTCATTTGTGTTCAGCAGAAGAAAGAAATTCATACAGGCTAAAAACCAACTTGAGGGTGAGTATATGATGACAGAATTTTCATTTTGAAGTGTACTATCCCTTTAAGTGCTGTTAATTGAAAGCTGCAAACAGCAGCAAAAGCAAGAAATACAGCTGTAGTCTGCAACCGCAGAAGCAATGAAAGAGACATAACTAAAACCCAACATAGAAAAACTTAAGACAGGTGAAACTAAAATAAAGGGAAACAAATTCTGCAACCGCAGTAACTTGATATCAGAACGATCTGACTAACTCATAACGTTAAGCCAACCGGCATATTAACGTTGCATATAACCTCAAGAGTGTGGGGCTCCACATTTTTCCTCATAGACCGATAACACCTAGCTCTTACTACCACCTTGCGATCAACAACATTGGAGACTGAACACATACAAATGGTTAGCAATTAGCATTCATAATGTTGCAAGTGCTAGCGCCAGATAGTTGTCAACTTACCTTGATAATTGTGAATAAATTCCTCAACGAGGAATTTATAGCCCTTGCTCAGCCTCGTTTCTTTAACTGTTGAGTGCCGTCCAACAATTCTGTCAACATCCTCAAATCTGAGTCGTGGAAGTGTCGAGAGAGAAGTTGTGAAATAACGCTCCATGTTCAAACACCGTAGTTTCAGCTGTGGCGGAAATCAGTTTACCCGACGTGACGTAGTTTCCGGTTACGCGTGAAAAAGGCTTATTGAGCCCTTTAAATTTAAACGTAGCCTTAAAGCGCGAAAAGGTCAGAGGATTGTCAGTTGGAGGGAAGACGAATACTGCAAACAATCAAGGTAAGATATCGATACATTTATATTTTCTTAGCGATTGCTTCGTTATATCCATGTTGTGTGAGTTAATGGAATAACTTCTAATTTCGAAGTAACATTATTTTGGCTGTTTTACCTCTAAGCTAGATCTATTATGGTTGTCGAATGCGAAATGACCAAGTAACTTATCGATTGAACGGGCGCGCCAATACATTTAGATTTGCTCATGTTGCTCGATCTTGCCAACCTTCAGTCAGTTCTGCACGGTGAAAGTATTTAACACTTGTCTTATTTTGGCACACCAATGAAAAATGTATAATTGCCTATGGTGTAATATTTCATGCATGTTGTTTACATTGGTCATACAGTGATACTTCAGTAACTGCACTAGTTTTATTACTCTGTGACAGCATTTTTCGTTAACTAGCAATAATGCACAAATTACTACATGCTTTATCTTACAATAAAAGCTTTTATGAGATGATTACAAAGTAACAATAGCCTAATAGATATTATTGAGCAAGTTGGTTCAGGTATTTATTACTCTATGTATTTCACATTTTAAGTATAGTCATTTTAAAATTAGTTTGCCTGCTTTTTTTTTTTTTTTTCATTTACTGTTTTGAGTCAGGATGTTTTTCACCTTAATAACACATGTCAATGTGATTTGCTACAGAAAACTGCTGGTGGGAATAAAATCGCCTACAGTTTAGAATTCACTGTCACCATTAAGGTAAGCTTCTGATACATTGCGTGTGGTACAAAATAAAAAAGTATCAATGTAAAAAAAAAAAAAAATATTCTTTCTTTCAGCGCACCTTGTTCTTGACTGCACTTCGTGAAATTGTAGGTGTAATTACTGTGTCATGGAGAGAGAAAAGTGGAATATCATTTGCAGCAATTTAAGGAAAAGGGCTGTTAAAAGAGTAACCCAGTTTATGAAATCTTTGAATGATGAGGTTAACAACCATAGTTAACCATGTAAACCTCTTGTAACCACAGCCACCTCAAGTGATCTGAGGGCACGGGCGCTTTGGTCTGCGCAAGCGCCGGAAAGCGCCGGAAGTGATCTCTCGCGCGGTTGCGGAAAAAATTCAACGTTGTCTGTTGATATATCGAAATCGTCTTCCATTGCGATTTCCTGTATATCTAAATATGTTTAGATCTTCACAGTGAAAGGTAACACTTCCGAAATCTCTGTGTAAACAATGAGTGACGTACACGCGCGAGAGATCACTTCCGGCTCTTGTGCAGACCGAAGCGCCCGCGCCCTCAGATCACTTGGACGTGGCTGTGGTTACAAGAGGTAAAAACGATATAAATACTGTTCGTTTTCTCACACAAACCGCTCGTTTCGTGTCTTAGGCCATCAATGTGTACTTACATTTACGAGTCATTAAATCATGTTTAATTTGGACTTCTCTGCGCATGCTCTTTGAGGTGGTGACCATAGACCTGCATTATATGACTGACAGACAAGAACGGTTTGACCTAAAAATATCTAAATTGAAACTTCTGCGGAAACAAAGACACCTACATCTCGGATGCCCTTGAGGTAAGCTAAAACATATCAAAAAATTATTTCAAAGTGAACTATCCCTTTAATTTTAGTAGGCTAACGTTACAGTAAATCCGTGGTAAATGATGAGAATTTGTAGACGGAAAAGCCTTCTGACTGTATCGTTGCGCACAGTGTTTCTCCTGTTTGTCAGCGCTGTTTCATCTGCCTTTAAACTGGTTTAAATCACTGAAACATTTGTGTTCTTCGCTGAATTCAAGCGCTTCTCACTAGATCTCACAGCGCTGTTTAGTGGTTGTGTGATCAAGACACCTGTCAAGTTTGAAATCCATCGGACTAACGGTTCGAGAGATATGCGGTTAACAGACAGACAGACGTTTCTGTAATTTATAGATAGATAACAAAAAGAACAGATTAAAATACTGTTAAAGTACCAAATCGATAAGCAGTATCGGTAAGAGTGGTAATACCATTAAAACCTTAACAATACTAGGGGTGTAACGATATTTGAACCGAACCGAAAAACCGCGATACACCACCCACGAGACGTATCGCGATACTCTCATGGCGAACCGAACACGCCCCGCCCCCTGCTGCCCCGCCCAGCCCCGGCTCATTGCACCTCATGTGTTATGTGAACACAACGAATACAATATAGACACATCCTCTTCCTGGCAGAATTTTTGTAACATCTTTAATTGATTGAAACTTCTGAATTATTTTCAAATAATTTAGCTATTTTCTTACAGACAGTTTCTATTTTGTGATGCTCAACAATCTTTTGCTGCACATCAGAACTATATTCTTTGGTTTTACTCATTGTGATGGATGATTAAGGGAATTTGGCCTTTGTGTTTCCTCATATTTAAACTCCTCTGAAACAAGAAATCATAGCTATACAATTACATGTTCCTAGTCACCCTGGTTTGCTAAAAAAAAAGGTTAAACTTGTAACTTTTGGGCATCCGGAAACAAAGAGTGTCCTTGTCCGTGGCCAAAATGTTCTTTACAGTGGCACTGGCAAAGTATGCACTTGGCTAATGCTTGTCTTCCTGCTAATTGTGTCCTAAGATTTTAAAAGTTGTCTTATCCATCCTTGCATTTACAATGTTATATATTTTTAGGAACTGTCAGAAACAATAGACTGACAGCTGTGGCCACCGATCAAGAAATTGAAACATTTATTAAAAAATGGCTTCATCTGTCAAGTGACCGAGACGGAGGGAGAAGAGAAAGGGAGAAATGGAGGAGGTCCCAAGACACCTGTAAGTCAGTTACATTGTGTTTTTGCTATATGTGTATAATACCATGGTCTGTCTGAATACTTGATTAGGGCCCTAGAAAATCCGTTTTATTTTTTCCCAAATTCTGTTTTATCAGTTTTCATTTTTGCTAATTCCGTTTGTTCCGTTTTCATGTTTGGGAATTCAGTTTTTTTTACGCTTTACTGTTATTTTAGTCGTAAAAAGAGTGTGCTTTTAATGTTAATGATTAAAATGTACACACTAGGGATGTCAACGATTAATCGACGATCGATTAATTGTCGATAACACGTTTAATCGATAAACCTTATCGATCATCGATTAAGCAGGTTCATGCGCGTGCGTGCTGCTCAACAGCGAAACATGTAAGCGAGCGCGCCGGAGTTATGTTTGGGACTATTTTACACCTTCATCATGACTATAAGTTTGCGTGTGCATTCGCTGCCTTTCGTTTTGTGCAAATGTAAGTTGTAATAGTTTATTTTGTGTGCGCCTATCTATATCTGATTTATCTCATATTGCATTTGGTTAAGAATTGACGCAGCGTGATCTTTAGCGCGCGCAGCTCAAATGGCAATGCACGACTAATAACGACTATTGGGGCTGTCATATTATATAACATTATAAAGAGAACAATATTGTAATAAAACATTGTGAATTATTTGGGTTTAGTTGCCGTGTCGCGTTGTTCCAGGAAGAGCGCGTCCACAACATGAGTCATTCTGAATGGCACGTAACT